TCGCCTTTCCCTTTGCCGCCTGCGCTCCTTCGCCCAGCGGCTACGCTCGTGTTCCAAGATCCGCCATGTAAAGTGTAGTGAAATGTATCTCATCGTAAATTAAATCCTAAGAAAACTAAAGCCTCTGCGGAGGAGAGAGGTGTTGAATGATGTTATTCTTTATATTGCGAAATTTCGGTAAACTTGTCAAAAACTTGAAAGAATATAAAACGAAACTATACTTCTCTATCAAAGTCTCTGTCATTAAAATCGACAATGATTTTAATCAAAACTATAAATCAAATTAAATGGCTTTAAATGGCGTTTAAACATAGATTTAAACAGGAAACTGGAACGAATCCGTACAAATATTTGTTCCGATTAGCGTTCACACGGTACTGGACAAATATTTGTCTGGCACTAGTACGCTTTCGTAGCAAGTTAAAAACTTGCACGGAAGGTGGTCAAAAACTTGTCGTGTATAGTGCCATGTAAACGCAAAGCATATCCGCACGAATATTCGTCCGGATAAAAATTTGTCTGGTGCCGTGTAAACAGGTTCTAATTCTACATGTATACTGATATTTCTCGCAATGTAATTTTCGCAAATTAATGAGTAATGCCTAACTGATGAGTTATGGTACGTAGGGGCCACGTACGGAAAAGTTGAAATCCGTTTAAAATGGCCTATGGCTTGTGTATGCTATACTAGCTACTGCATGAAATAATTGAATGAATAGATTTATAGCATTTAGATAAAATATATATGTATATGACTTAGTCTGTTTTCGTTAAGGTATTTATTAATCATATAAAATTTAGAAAGACTTAAACATTTCCGTCGTACATGAACTGTGCTAAACATTCCACTGGGATGAAATGATCAGCGTCATAGCATGATTCGAGGAATTTTCGATTAAACTATAGTATTGTTTAATAATCATTTTCACGTCATCATGCTGAAATACTTTACTCTAGAGCTAAATTTCTTCCCGAAACTTTCTTTCGAGCATATGCCCTTTATATGGAAATTCCAGACGAAGGTCTGTGCTCTGCAAAACGAAGCTCTCTTCGCTGCCACAGCTAGCAGTAATTGGCTTTCAATAATGTAAGCGAGGACGCTATACCACGCATTAAAACCTGGATATGAACGGTTGTATTACTATAGTTAAAATTAAGCTGATCATTGAAAAGAAGACAATATTGAATTGATGAGAGAAGTAAATGCATTTAAACCGCCTTGATCTTGATAAATGATGGATTTGGCACCAACTCAGTTTCCCAATTTATTCACTTACCTTTCCAGATTGTCGGTTGGTCAAAGAAAATTTCAGTTCGTGACATAAATCAGTCCGATTAAGATCAACAAGCACTCAGAAGAGTTAAATTTACAAAATTCTATAATATAAAGCACAAAGTAATCGTTGTATATGTAAAGCTATTACCCAGTAATATAACGAGCTTCTTAGTCATATGCCGAACCTAATTCGTATTCAATTAGGTGACGGTTCAGCGCATGCAAACTGATTCGACTACGTACAATTCAAATGTCCAACCTTAATCTTTGGTCCAACTTAATTGCTAGATGTGAGCAAGACGTAAAAATCACGAAGCGGTATTTAGGTCACATGTACACTTGTAAACCGCATTAAAGATCAGAAAGTCATGCTATAGGGTGTCCCAAAAAAAACGAAAACTATTGCAATCACTTATTGTTAAATTTGAATGCCCTACCAAACAGCTAGACGTAATGATGCGTAAAATATTGACAAGGTGCATGTATTAGAATTTAGTTAGGAATATCTCCTGGTAAAGTGCGCAATTTTCTGCTCCTGGGAATTAAAAACAGCTTCTTAAACAGTTTCTTTATGCATAAAATTTACTTATGTCAATAATTTATGCACTCGTGGGAACCAACAGAGCGCTAAAACATTCAAATTCTAACAATTAAATTGTTATTGGTGATTTCAATAGTTTTCGTTGTTTTTGGGACACCCTGTAGAGGGTGTTTATAAAAGTTAACAATACTAATTGAGAAGCATGGATGTTTATGAAAGTTAACAATACTAATTTAAGTTTTAATAGCATGCTAATGAAGCGTGAGATGATCCCCATGGGCAGAGAATACTAATAAAGTAAACAAATAAATTCATTTTACAAGTACGTTAATATATTCGCAACTGACTTTATGGGCATTTAACAATGGCTCGCGCTGCGCGCTCGCCATTGTAAATGCTCATAAAGATCAGCTGCTCATATTTTAACTAGTACATAAAGTATACGTTGTCCTTAAACTGTCTGCTCATATAATTTTTATATATTTTGTATTCTGAATGAGAGTTTTATGCACCGTGAAGTTTCAATATAGAAAATACCCGACACTGCAGCAACGTACCGCATCACGTTCGAGATAAATTAGCGGATATGAATATAAAGACTTTATATTAGGTTCTCATACCTTGAACGCGACACTCCCTTTTGCAGATTAACTGTATGGTCCTCAGTGTTTCCTCAAATCAGTGTATCTACGAGTACGAGAAAAATCAATGATTCAGTAAAGTGTGAAAAAAACTTATACTTTAATTAGTCCTCCTGCCTCACATTATGCAGTTTACAGGCGTAAAAACGCTGAGCCTGCTGTTTAACAGGATTGAACAATGGTCAATGTGTCGCGACATTTATTTTCTGCCGTATAAGTGTCGTTCTATACATGACAAATCTATATCATACTTACCCAGAATTCCAAATATTGAACGACTGAAATGTTGTGATAATCTTGCACCCCTACCAAATGAATCAAGTGATGGAACATAGCTTATCGAAGGGAAGATGGCTGTGAAACTCATTAGAATAACAATATAACTGGTCAACGTTTATTTATAAATCTGGTCCTTCACCGTCACGTGTGTTTTGTATTTTTGCCCAACTAAACAATAGCAATTTTTCATGAAAGTTCCCTATCTGTGACTCGAACAATAGGGAAATTGCTATTGGTGGATTGGGAAAATACGATACACACGTGACGGTGAATTATAAGGACCAGATTTATTAATAAACGTTGACAAACATAAATAATGAGTTATATGGTTATTCTAATGAGTTTCACAGCCATCTTCCCTTCGATAGGTCTTGGATGGATGAATGCGCTGTATACAATAGATACCATGTGTAAACCAAATAGCCGTAATTTTATTGTTGCATCTGTTTACCGACCACCCGACGCCTGGTCCGCATTTTCTTATGCTTTTGAAAAGATGATTGGTTTGATTGATGATGAAAACAAAGAACTTCATATCTTAGGGGATTTGAATTGTGATATGTTAAAGAGTGTCTCTGACCAACCAACAAAAACACTGAAAGACTGAAAGCTATTTATGAAGCATACACAATTATGATCTCAATTAATCACTGAGGGCACACGAATAACTAATAGGTCTCTTATTGATCACTACGTAACATTTATATATGCCAGAGAAATTCAATTTGTCATGTACAGGTATAATGCATACCGGAATTAGTAATCACAGTTTAATTTACAGAATAAGGAAAACAAGCCCTAGCTATCTTTATATAATTATAAGCTCACACAAGAAGGCTAAAAATTTGAAGTAAGAAATATGAAACGGTTTAATCAACATCATTTTAATGAGGACCTTCTTGCTCAGCCGTGGGAACAAATTGTCCTACAATCAGACACTCTTTGGAAAGAATTATTTCTTGAGGTCCCAGACAAGCATGCCGTCCAATTCAGCATATTAGAAAGAAATCGTCTAGTATCCCGTGGTTGACTAGTGAGATAAAAGAGCTACTTTTTGATAGAGATATAATAAAAAACGCAGAGCGATGATAACCAAGCTAAATGCGGACTAGGATGAATATAAGGCATCCAGAAACAAGGTCAATATTGCCTTACGACAGGCCAAAGCTGATTACTACCGCAATAAAATAGCCACTCAAAATAACAATCCCAAAGAGGCCTGGAAAACAATTAATAGCTTAATAGGTCGATCGTTCCTTCAGTGACACATCCGTGAATGAATGAATTAAAAATAAATGATGCCAACCTTACTTCACCCGATGAAATAGCTGAAGCATTTAACACATACTTTTCTAATGTTGACCCAGCCTAGTCCCAGTCGTTCTGAAGCAAGCGCGAGAAAAAAGTGGATGTAGTACGAGACTGGGACCTAGGTGTGACGTCACCGCCCAAGGTGCTTCAGAACGCCTGGCAGATTTCAGTATTTTTAATATGGCGGAAAATTTATATATACAAGTAACCCTTTAATTATAAATACGACAATGTTCGTTCATCATGTACATGTTCGATGTCTACATAACCAAATCAAACTGTTTTAAAAATGTGCTCAACTAAAAAAAATTATATACAAATTTACGATACCGAGTTTGAGCAATCGTTGATGTTATTTATGTACTCGCAAGTTGTGATCAACACTAGACCATACTGGTATACACTATTACGCTTTCTACTTGACATGTTTAAATTGCTGAGGAGATTGGAAATACTTGCCTGACATGACGGTGTTGTCAAAACATTCTTAGTCGGAGACTCAAGCTTCTAGATGGCATTTAATATGGCTATATATTTTAGTAAACACGAGTCATATTTAGCCCGTTATTCCATTCTGACCGTATGGCAGCGAAACGTAGCATTCATTGTTCCGACAGCACTAGAGCAAAACTAATGACTTAATTATAAATGCAAAGGAAATTTCCATAACATTTTCCATTTACAAATGAGATATGCTTGGTAACCAGGCCAGGGACCACTTTTTTGAAATCAGGGACCATTTTACCGAAATCTGCTAGGCTCTCTCGCTGAAGC